CCTCCTCCTCCTCCTCCTCCCTCTCCTACTTATGGTGGTGGTGGAAAATGGGCTCATTATCGTGTGATCAATTCGAGCATCATGTGAAGATCGGTCTGGATTCCGTTTCTGGCATGCCAGTTGCGTGCGCAGCTTGGGCACAGGCGGGGGAGACGGGTTTGCAGCAACGCTTCCCCGCCTCCGCACTCCGCAGCCGCTTGCCTCCGAGGCCCCACAGAGGGCCGTGCCAGCCAGCCGCACGCTGCGCACTGTACACCAGCGTTGGGTCTAGGGAAACAGTTCTCCTCGTGCTGCAAACCTGCTGCAAACAGGTGGGTGCGTCCCCCGCCCCTTCCGGGCCGACTGCGAGGACGACGGCCGGAGTACAAGAGCGTGCGAGGCCGTTGCAGAGGGCTGCACGACATAGGAGGAGGAGGAGGAGGAGGAGGAGGAGGAGGAGGAGGAGGAGGAGGAGGAGGAGGAGGAGGAGGAGGAGGCGGGTGCACGCTGCACAGCAGCCTGCTCGGGAGCGCGCCGCACGCAGAGAGCAGGCGGCGCAGTGCTTTCTCTCCGACCCGCGCGCGGAGGCCTTTGGGGGAGACGTGGCCTCCGAGCGGAGGCGGGGGGCAGCGGACTGGGGAGGCTGTCTTGGCATCGCTCGGACGTGTGCATTTTTCTTTCGGCGAGGACCATCGAGGAGCATCCTCGATCATTTGGCGAAAACACCATGCACGAAACCGAAAAAAAACACAGGGAATGGACGTCCGAGCGATGGCGAGCTGTGCTCTGAACGCGAAAAGTGCCCAGACGTGCCAGGGCGTGATCTCGTTAGACAGAAATCACCGGAGTTCTCCTTCGTCTTGGACTGAAGGTATGTCGGCGACCAGCGTGCAATAGCGAACAACAGCGCCAAATAGCGCCCAGTAGCGCGGAATGTTGCCGCATAGTTTTCAAATGGCGCCCCAGAGCGATCAACAGCACCAGGTAGCGCCATGCGAGGGAGATGCATTCTGTCCGATTTGTTGCGGGCGATTGGACAGCGCCATGGCGACGACCAACAGCTTCCGTGAGTTGCTTTCACCGCTCACTGGCAATCAGGGACGCTGGATTGGGCTAGTGTGAGCGCGGGCGCTCGGTGAATTCCCTGGGAGGCGGGGGGAAGACGACCGTGTCGAGCTGCGCTCTGCCGAGGAGCCGTGGGCCAGAAGCATACCCCTAATACCAACCAGTGTGCGGTCGGGAACTTTGTCTTAGCGTGTCGCTCCGCCGGTTCTGGCTCACCACGCCTCGGCGCGACGCGCTATCCGCGTTCCCGTCTCCATGCGTCAACGTCCCGAGCTTTTCCGTGCCTCCCGCCCCGCGGGGCGGAGCAACACGCCATCCGCTGGCCGGGCGCAGCACAACGCCGCCCCCGCCGCGGCGACACGCTGAGCAAACTTTCCTGACCGTAGGGGGATGCACCATGTAACAACTACAGTCAACGCGCATAGTAAGGACAAACGACTTTTTCAAGGGTACCCTTGGGTCCTTGCCTGCCTCAACCTCTGCGGCCCGTCCCTGGCAATTTTCGCAGGCCAGTTTCTCAGGTTCCCTGGAGGTTTGGCCGCCTGCCGCCCAGAATACTTGAACTTCGGCCTTCAAAGGTCTTGCGTCCCTACCGCGCGTCCTTACTATACGTTTTCACTGTAGTCGGGAGAGGGGAAGGGAGTGATCGTAGGAGTGCGTGTCGTCTGCGTGCTGCGGAGTCGTGGAGCCCCCGGGGGGAAGGAGGAAGGCAAACTGGGGCGCCCTCGCAGCACCTCTGGGTCATCCCTTGCCGACCACCGGGTCGGTTGAGGAGGCCGCTGGAGTCCTTCAGTAGTGTGGTAGGCTTATGTCGGGCCTGTCCCCCTAAAATAATCCCAAAATGCCCCCAAAATAGTCTGGGGACTATTTCTTGAGCATTTTTTTACCTTTCTGGGGTATTTTTGGGGTATTTGTATTTTTTCGTCGAAGATCCCCCTGTAGGGGGACACGCCCGACTTAATGGTAGGCACGCGCCAAAGAAGGACTCGGCCTGCCAGCAGGTGCCCCACGAAGATGTCCTATCCCGCCATGGCCCCAGGGGCCCACAGAAGCTCTGGGGCACCGAAGGGCCCTCCACGATCGACGAGCAAGGCGCCCCAGCATTGGTTCTGTATGCGCCTGCTGTATCTCCACTGTGTCAGAGGGCGGGGGAGGCAAGACGGTCGGCATACCCACGGGGGGGGCGGCACGGATCTCGCGGCCTGTACACCTTGCGAGAGCGTGTTATACCGCTGCTCGCGGAAAACCGGGGGGGGTCACTACCGGTTCGAACCCCTCCCCCCCCCCCCCTCCGGAAAACCGGGGGGGGTCACTACCGGTTCGCACCCCTCCCCCCCCCAGTTCATCATGAAAAGGGGGGGGGGTCACTACCGGTTCGAACCCCCCCCCCCTTCGAACTCGAAAACCTGGGGGGGGTCACTACCGGTTCGAACCTCCCCCCCCCTCGAAAACCGAGGGGGGGTGCGGACAGTGGTGGGGACGGTGGTGGTGGGGACAGTGGTGAGGGGACAGCGGGACAGTGGTGGGGACAGTGGGACAGTGGTGGGGACGGTAGTGGTGGGGACAATGGTGAGGACAATGGTGGGAACAGTGGGGACAGTGGGACAGTGGTGGGGACAGTGGGACAGTGGTTGGGACGGTGGTGGTGGGGACAGTGGTGTGGGGACAGTGGGAATGTGGTGGAAACAGTAGGACAGTGGAGGGTACAGTGGTGGTGGGGACAGTGGTGAAGGCGGTTTTCGAGGACGGCGGTGGGACACTGGGACAAAGGTACAGTGGGGACAGTGGTGGCGACAGTGGGGACAGTGGTGGGAACAGTGGGACAGCTCAGTGGGACAGCGGAGGAGTCAGTGGGACAGTGGGGACAGTGGGGATAGTCGGGCAGTGGTTGGAGCCGTGGAGAAAGTTGGGAGAGTGGAGCCGTGATGGGAACAGTGGTGGGGACTGTGGGGACAGTGCGACAGTGGTGGTGGCACTGGTGGGGACAGTAGGGGCGGTGGTGGAACCAGTGGGGACAGTGGTGGTGAGGACAGTGGTGCTGGGAACAACAGTGGGGGATGTGGTGAGGACGGTGGTAGGGACCGGGAGTCGTTTGCTGGCGGTGAGAGGGGGGGTGGGGGGGTTCGAACCGGTAGTGATCCCCCCCTCTGGTTTTCGAGGGGGGGGGGGGGTCGAACCGGTAGTGACCCCCCGGTTTTCGGGGGGAGGGGGGGGAGGGGGGTAGGGGAGGGGGGGGGGGGGTTGCCAGGGGAGAGGGGGGGGGGAGGGGTTCAGCAGGGGGGGGGGATTTTCGGAGCGGGGGGGGGGGAACCCCGGGTTCCGGAGGAGAAGGGCTGCAATTTTCCATAGTAGAGCGGCGGTGGATCACGCTCTCTCGACGATCTTGCCTGGCCGTCTTAGGCGTTGGCAGTACGCTGCGCTGCAGCGCGCGCGCGCGCCCTTGGAGGCCTGCGTGCGTGCGCAGGCGAAGCTCGGTGGTCTAGGCACCATAGTTCTGAGAACGGAGACTGCTGTTGGTGGTGGTGACGACACTGACGCTGACGCTGACGCCGACGATGTTGACGACGGGTGAAAAGATGATGATGCTGATGATGCTGATGCTGATGATGCTGAAGCTGACACTGATGGTGGTGATGATGACGATGATGAGGATGATGCTGATGATGGTGATGATGATCACGATCATGATGATGATGCTGCTGATGATGACAATGGTGAAAATGATGATGCTGATGTGGGTGAAGATGATGCTGAAAGTAATGATTATGGTGATGGCACTGATGATAATTCTGCTGATGGTGGTGCTGATGATGATGACGTTGATACTGATTGTGACACTGATGACGATGATGAGGCTGATGATGCTGATGATGGAGATGATGATGCTGATGCTGATGATTTTGATGATGGTAATGATGATGTTGCTGCTGATGATGGTGATGCTGCTGCCGATGGTGATGACGAAGATGATGATGATTCTGATTATGATGATGATGCTGATGATGATGATGCTGATGATGATGACGTCGACGATGATGGTGATAATGATGACGATGCTGAGGCGGATGCTGATGATGATGATGGTGGGGGTGGTGATGATGATGATGATGATGATGATAATGGTGATGATGGTGTTGATGATGATGCTGATGATGATGGTGATGATGATGCTGATGATGATGGTGGTGATGATAATGCTGATGATTTTGATGATGGTAATGATGATGATTATGATAATGATGATGTTGATGATCATGGAGATGATGATAGTGATGATGCTGATGTCTGATGATAATGCTGATGATGATGCTGATGCTGCTGCTGATGATGATGACGATGATGATGACGATGACGATGACGATGATGATGATGATGATGGTGATGATGATGATGATGATGATGATGATGATGATGATGATGATGATGATGATGACAATGCTGATGATGACAATGTCTATGATTATGCTAATGACGATGATTGTGATAATGCTGCTGCTGATGATGATGATGATGATGATGATGCTGATGCTGATGCTGATGCTGATGCTGATACTGATGATCATGACCATGATCCTGATCATGAGTACGATGATGATGCCGATGATGATGGTGATGATGAGTATAAGTAGTATGGCCGCTGTTCATGACTAATTATGGTGATGGCCACGATTGACGACGACGACGACCCGAGGAGGACGAAGAGGAAGAGGAAGAGGAGGAGGAGGAGGAGGAGGAGGAGGAGGAGGAAGAGGAGGAGGAGGAGGAGGAGGAGGAGGAGGAGGAGGAGGAGGAGGAGGATCCACAGCCGGCCGCCTCCTGCGCCAGGCCTCGTGCCACGGCGGCCCAGGCTCGGCAGGCTGGGAGCCTCTTCCGGGGCGCTCCGGCACGCAGCGCTCGCGGGTGGCGCGGCCGCCGCCGCCGCGCAGGACGCGCGCGCGCGCTGGCGCGCGGCTGGGATGCCGCGGGCCGCGTTCGAGGTGTCGCTGGGGCCGCCGGAGTGGGAGCGGCCAGGGCCGCGGGGAGCGGGCGGCGGCGGAGGCGCGGAGGAGGACCGGGGAGCACAGGCCGGTCACAGCGGCACGGGCCCGGGCCAGGCCAGCCCCCAGAGGAGGGCGAGGTGCAGACGCCGCGGCGCCGCCCTCGCTGTGGCACTCCTGGGCGTCCTGGGCGGGCCTCGTCGCCACGGCTGCAGTCGCCCTGAAGCCCGAGGCAGAGCGCAGCGTCCCAGGAGGAACGGTCTCGGCAGCTCTTCGTGCCCCCATGGGGCCAGCGGTGCGGACCTGGGCCAGGGCATGCCAGGCCAGCCCTGGGCCCCGAGGATTGGCGCCCGGCCGCCAGGGCCGGCGTCGGTTCGGGTCGGGCGAAAGGGGGGGATTGGGAAAGGGGGGGTTACGAAATTTGCTGCATGCAGCTGGTTTCGGCCTCACCGAGGGGCCCATTCCTCGATACATGGTCGCGTCCGGCGCCGGGAGGCGCCGGGAAAATCAGCTACGCGAGCTGATTCTCAAAACCCCCCTTTGCTATCCCCCCCTTTCGCCCGACCCGATCGGTGGACAGTCGGCGGCCCACCTCCCCAGGAGGCCCCGCTGCTGCGGAAGCTGGGGGACACGGCCGAGTGGCTGGCCTTCCGCCACAAGAAATAGACACAGACACCCTCCACTGGATTGTTCCTGGGCCTCAGGGGAGGGTGGCGGTGTAGAAATCACCTCTGGGAGCCAGCGACTTTCTACACCGCCCCCTCCCTGAAGGTACAGGCAAAGTTCGTCGGAGGGTGTTTGTGTTGTCGCGGCGCAGGCCCACTCGGACGACACCGACCCGGCCAGGCTGGTCGCGGGTTGGTTCCGCGACTTCGGCCCGAGCGTTGGGCTGCGCTCGCCGCACGCCGCGGCCTGGCTGGCCCTGCAGGTGCTGGGGCTCGCCTTCCAGTCGGAGGGCGCCAACTCTCCGCCACACACAGACGCACGCACGCACGCACGCACACAAACAGAGACACACACACATACAGAGACACACACAGACACACATTCACACACATTCACACACAGTCACACATACACCCTCACGCACACACAGAGACACACGCACACACGCACGCACACACACACGCACAGAGAGACACACACAGACACACGTTCACACACACACACACACCCTTATTCACACACACACACGCGCATTCACACACACACACACCCTCACGTACACACATTCACACACATTCACACGCATTCACACACAAACACCCTCACGCACACACACACACACACACACACGCACGCACGCACGCACGCCACACGCAGACACACGTTCACACACATTCACTCACAAACGCACACAAACTTACACAAACCCTCTCACACCCACACACACACATTCGCGCACACACACACATTCACACCTACACATTCACACGACACACACCCTCACGCACACACACACAGAGACACACACGCACACACGCACGCACACACAGAGACACACACAGACACACATTTACACATATTCATTCACCTAAACACACACACACACACCCTCACGGCCACACACACACACACTCGCATTCGCACACACATTCACACACACGCACACACCCTCATGCACACACAGACACACACACACACGCACACGAACACACACAGACAAACATAGACGTTCACACAAACACACATTCACACACATTCGCACACACACACACCCTCACGCATACACACATACACTTTCACACACACATTCACACACATTCGCACATACACACGCACACCCTCATGCACACACACGCACACACGCACCCACACACACACACGCACACACACGCACGCATGCACACGCAAGGACACACACACACAGAGATACAGATTCACACATTCACACACACCCTCTCGGACGCGCACACATTCACACACACATGCACACACCCTCACGCACACACACGCAGACACACACACACATACACGTACACTCACACATTCACACACATACACTCTCACGCACACACACAGAGACACACACACATTCACACGCACGCACACACAGAGACACACACACACAGACACGCATTCACACACATTCACACACATTAACACACACGCGCACCCTCACGCTCCCACACAGGCACACATTCACACACATTCACACACACACATCCACACACACACACATTCACACACGCACCCTGATGCACACACACACACACACGCACACACACACACACGCACGCACACGCACACACACGAATACACATATACACACCACACCCACACGCACCCACACGCACCCACACGCACCCACACGCACCCACACGCACCTACACGCACCCACACGCACCCGCTTACCCACGCACGCACACACCCACTTACCCACGCACCCTCGCACCCACGCGCGCACGCAGCCACGCAGCCACGCAGCCACGCAGCCACGCAGCCACACACCCATACACACACACACACCCACACACCCACACACCCACACACACACACACACACACCCCACACACGCACACACAACTGCACACATGCGAAAACGCACACACGCATTAATACACACATACACACATACACACATACACGCATACACATATACACACATACAACGCATTGTTCCTGGGCCTCAGGTGGCGATGCATAAAGCATCACTGAGAGCCAGCGACTCTATACACACCGCCGCCCTCCCTCAAGGTACATGCTAAATTAGTCTGAGGGTGTCAGTGGGTGTATACATACATATACACATACATACATACATACATACATACATACATACATACATACATACATACATTCATACATACATACATACATACATACATACATACATACATACATATATACATACATATATACATACATACATACATTCATACATACATACATACATACATACGTACATACATACATGTATATATATATATATTCTCGGCGTAACTATACACCTACACCGATCCTGGCCAGTCCCGTGCTGGGCCTAGGACCGTTGTGCTCAGACGTGCTCGCGTGGTGAGACATCGCGACGGGAGGCTTTTGGCCGCTTTCGGTCCCTGGGGGCTCTCGCTGGGCCCGAGGACTGCCAACGCAGCGACTCGCGATGAAAAGCTGGCCCCGGGCAATGAGTCGGGGCTTCTGCTGGGGATCCCGTATTGAATAATGAGGCTGGAGCTGGCGGGGGGGCCGAGGTGGCCCAGCATCGGTTCCGGCCAACAGAAAGAAGGGAGAAAAGGGCCCAATCGCTGCCACGGCTGGATGCGGCTCGAAGTTCTGGCCAGCTTCGACCCAGGAGGGTTTTTTGGGGACCGATTTTGAGCGAATTTGCCGTCATCCCCCCTCTTGATCGGCTTTCTTCGGACTCGCCCAGCTCAGACCCCCCCCTCAGCCCTCTCAAAGCTCAAAGGTTCTGCGCGGACGAAATGGGCACGGACAGAATGGGTACTATGCCCGACAGCGTGCCTGGTTCATTTTGAACAGGACTCGCTGTCCGCGCCGCCGCGGCCTGTGTCCATTTGAGACAGAAGGCCGCCTGCCCCACAGCGGCCGCTCTTGGTTCGGGACAACATGTGCTGTTGGGCATTGTACCCCTTCTTCCGTGCCCATTTCGGGCGTCCAAAGAGGCGTGCCCTGGGCTAGGGATCGCTGTAACGGTGTGCCCCCTTCGCCGGGCCAGGCGGGCGCACGCACCGATCCGGGGCCCGGGGCCGGCCTGGGCAGGCTCGGTGCAGGCGTGTGTGGCTGGCGCCCTCCCATCCGGTGGTCCCTGCTCTCGGAGATGGGCCAGCACATGGAGGACTTCGGCCGCGCCCTCGCGGAGAACTGCCGCCGTGACGCGGGCGCCGGCGCGGGCGCTGGCCCGGGGTGCGTGGGCACGGGCTGGAACCTGAGCGCGGCCGAGGTGCTGCGCTTCCCGCGGTCGGCGGGGTCCGCCGCCGAGATCGACGGCGCGGGCTTCGACTTCGTGGTGTCGGCGGAGAGGCCCTTCGGGCCCTTCGAGACCAGGTCCCGCCCGCCGACGTTCCTGCTGGTGGTGGAGCCGAGGCCCCCGCACGAGCACGTGGGGTGGACGGCAACCCTCCGGCCCTCCAAGTCGCCCAGCTCGAGGGAGAAAAGGCGGCGCAGGCACAGGCTTTGGGAGCTCCGCGCGGGCTGCTTGCGTCGGCTGGGTCCCCCGCGGGGGCGGGAGGGCAATCGCGCTTCGCGCGCCGCTGCCTGAGCGCTTGCCCTCCTCCAGCGGGGCGGCGCGAGGGCGCGAGGGCGCGACGAGAATCGCGCGTCGCGCATCGCGGGGCGCGATGCGCGAGGTGAGGCGACGCAGGATCGGCGCTGGGCCCCCCTGGCGGCGCCTCCGGCGCCGGGCCCCTGCGCGCTCCGAGCGCCAGGGAGGGGGGGCCCAGCGCCGACCCAAGACATCCGCACGGACCTCCGACAGTTTCTGCCCATGCCGCGTTCTCTTCCTCTGCCAGCGCCGCGGGCCGCGACTCCGAGGTGGTGAGCGGCCGGGGGAGGGCGGACAAGGTCGTCGTCGGCCGCCGCCAGGGCTCGGCAGCGGTGTCCTGGACGGGCAGGATGAGACTGGAGACGGGCGTGTCCGCCGAGGCCGAGGTCCGGGTGTCCGTGGTCGACTCGCGGGTGGAGCACCTTCAGGAGATTCACAGACAGAGCTTAGATCGTAAATCACAGAAGCTTCCGCTCGTTTTGGGTTGAATGTGTGTCTGCGAACAGCGCCTAATAGCCTCCACCAGCGCCACATGGCGCCCAGTAGCGCCCAGGAGCGCCGAACAGCGTTCAACTAGTGACCAATAGCGACCAATAGCGCCCAATAGCGCCATGCGAGGGAGATGCGCATTCTGTCCGCTTTGCGCGTGGTTGGGCGCGCCATTGAGCGCCATGGGGGCGACCAAAAGCTTTCGTGAGTTACGTTCTACCAGGAGATCCACAAGCAAAGGCAGTGCAGCTTTGAAAAGAGCTGGGAGGCCTTCAGCATGAGAAAGGGAGGCGAGCACCTCGTGGTTCTGCAACGGACGAGGTATGCAGTCGCATCGTTTTTGCTGTTCTCGATCTGCTTGATGGCAACGGTTCTACATCGTCTGTGCTCGCGGCGGCACAGCGGCAGCTTGCTGAAGCGTGCGATCATGCTCAAGTTTGTGGCGCAGGATTTTCCCCAGCAGATCTGCATCGTGGCTTATCTGTACAGCTGGTATGCAAAAAACGGGCTCCGCTGCCAGATGTGCTTGTTCAATCCGCTGCACTGCGAGACACAGCAGCCCCTGCACTGGTCAAACTTCTTGTTGTGTCTGGTCACGGCGCTGAGCGCGGTCTCGAATCAGCTGCTCATCCAGGCAAAGGTGTTCCAGGATATTCTGGACGATTGTTTCGTCATAGTGTTCCGAGTCGCACTTCTCAGCTTCAGCGTGCTGCCTTTCTCGACGGCGGTCTACCTGTCCCCACTTTGCTTCCACTACGACCACATGCTTGTGCTGCTCCTGTCGGCCGTCCTCCCGTTTGTGCTCGGCTGGATGACTGTCTGTTGCGGTTGGATGTTCGTCGTGTTCAGGGACGAGTTGGATTTGTGAGTCGATGTCCGCAGAAGGAAAAAAAACGCCACAAACATAAACCGCGCGGGTTCCTTGGATCGGCACTGGACCCCCCTCCCTGGCGCGCGGTGCGCGCCAGGGGCCGTGCTGGAGGCGCCACCAGGGGGGTCCAGCAACGATCCAGGAAACCCGCGCGGAGCTCCGAACGTTTCATGCCTGTGCCGTCTCGAATGCCTCTGGGTGTGGTGCTTCCGGAGAGGGCTCGGCGGCCAAGAACGAGTCGGGATGCGACGCGGCGAAGGCGCGGCGGCAGACGTGCGCCTGCGTGGACCTCGCGGGGCAGCTCGGGCACGGCTGGGGCGCGGGCCCTGCGCACCGCCGCGCCGCGCGCCCGTCCTGCACGCCTCCCGCTTCCGGCACGCCTCGGCGCTCGCTCTGCAGGGAGGCCGGCCCGGCGTCCTGGGCACCCCGGCGGCATGCTCGGGGTCGTGCCATCGGCGGGCCGGCTCGGCGGTGGCAGCAGGCGCGTCCGAAGAGCCTCCTCCCCGCTCCCTGCTTCTCGTAAGCACCGTCACCACGGCGATCTCATCGTTGTTTTCGCCCAGAGCCCACGGCACCCTGGTCGTCAGCATCGCCAGTGCCCCACCGCCGTCATCGCTATGATCGTCGCCACCATTCTCGGCGTTGTCTGCCATTGGTTGTCTCCCCCGTCCCCGCTGTACGCGGGGCGCTGCCGGCGGTTCTCTGGCGGGGCATTGCAGCGGGGACCCCCTGTTCCACATTGCTGCCTTGGTCTTCTAGCAACCAAGTGAGCCACCCCGACACCCATAGCAGGCGTTTCCTATATAGCCCTGGGCGTTAACTGAACAGTCTTTCCCTGCGCGAGTCTTTCGTCATGTGCGTTCACGACACGGGGTCGCTTGTTCGGGGGGGAGCTGTTCTTGAGGGTCGTCCTTTTGCCTTCTCAGCAAAGCCGCTCAAAATCGGTCCTTGGCCCCCTCCCAAGGGTCCAGCCTGAATGGAACAATAAAAAAACATGAACAACAAACAACGCATAAAAAACGCATTTTTTTTTAGCCAGATCCAGCTGTCGCGACGAGAGGCCTCCAGGAGGCCCCGAGAGGACGACATGTGCCAGCTAGTGCCGCCGTGGTCTCGACTGGCCGGTTGTGCTGCGTCAGGAAGGACTGGGATGGACAGCGGTCCGAGCCTTCGGGGCGGAAGCGCAGAGGGAGGAGGAGGAGGAGGAGGAGGACGAGGAGGAGGACGAGGAGGAGGAGGAGGAGGAGGAGGAGGAGGAGGAGGAGGAGGAGGAGGAGGAGGGGGAGGATCTTGGGCCGACTTGAACAGGAGGCTGGCCCAAGGTGATGTGGTGGACCGAGACCCATTGCTGCGGGAGGTCCCCGTAGAGCCGCCGGGTCCGCCGTGACCGCGGGCGGCAGAGACGAGGAGGAGGAGGAGGACGACGAGGAGGAGCAGGAGGTGGAGGAGGAGCAGGAGGAAGAGGATGGGAAGTTCCCTCCTGGCGGGCGGCCGCGGCCCAGGAGCTCGGCCCGCAGCCACAGCAGTAGCGGCGGCAGCACCAGCGGGGCCAACTCCTGGGCCGACGCCGACCTGTGCCTCGAGGGCGGCTGGCCGCGGCTGTCCGCGGCCAGCTGGCCGCTGGCCGCTGGCCGCGGCGACCACCTGGGCGACGCCAGCGCTTCTGAGGTTCCCCCCCGCCGCCGGTCGCCGCCGCCGGTTGCAGTCGTTGGCCGCCGTCGCCTCCGCCGCCTCCGCCGCCGTCGTCGTCGTCATCGTCGTCGTCGTCGTCGTCGTCGTTGGATGTGCCGGGAGTGCGGGATAGCAGCGCAGGCCGTCGCTCGTCGGGCCCCTTGCGAGGCACGTCCCAACGGGCGAGAAAGGGACATCGTGCCGTGCGACGGGAAGCCTTCCAACGTATAAGACTTCTACAGTGTGCTGATTCGGGTTCCCTGAGGTTGATGGATGAAAACGTGGTCGCCGTCGCCGTCGTCGTCGCCGTCGTCGTCGTTGGCGTCGTCGTCGTCGGCATCGTCGTGGCCGCGAGGGCGGCTGGCGGCCAGCGACCCGCCTACCAAAAGGAAGGAGCACGAGCACAGGAAATCCGAGGACAGAGGTTTGCCTTTGACGGGTCGGCTCGTGTAGCGATCCCAGTTTGCCTGGCGGCCTTCTGCTTCTCGCTGCTGTGCCAGTCGCGCCGCAATGTGATTCGGGGATCGCGCGCTCCCCACCTCCTCCTCTCCCGGAAACAGAAGAGGGAGTCCGAGGACAGGGGCTTGCCGCCGCTGTCGGAGTTTAGGGGGGCATTCTTCGGGTCCTGGGGGAATTTTTGCTTTCGTTGCCTTGCTGTCGGCCTCGCTCGTGCTGTGCGTTCGGGATGGCTTCCGTGAGGGGCGGCGGATTATTCCTTCTCCTCCGCTTGGCTGCTTGGAAAAAAGTCTTCGGGTCCTGGGGGCTGCAGGGACCGATCCGGGGCGGAAAACTGGGCGGGATTGGCACGGGGGGTTCTGGAGGTTGACATTGAGCGGACTTTGGGTACAGTGGAGGCCCATGCCAAGGAACACCCTGCTTGCCTCCAGGGTGCCCCGGGTTTCTCGGGTTTCGATTGCCTTGCTGCGGAGGGCGCGACGTTCCCACACCAAGCATCAGTGGACGTCCTGGGGTCTCAGGGCCGGGCTTCTCGTGGAAGGCTTCTCGTGGGCGGGCCCCCACCGCGGCAGGGCGGGTGCGGGCGGCAACGCCCGTCGATCTCCGGCCAGCGGTCGGCACGTCCTCGGCCAGAGCGGGGGCCCCCGGAAGGGGTCTCTCCCGCCATGGTGTGCGGGGGAATAGGTGGGCCCACTTTTGGGCTCGCAGCTCGTCATTATCATCATCAGTCGCGTACCAATCATCATCATCATCATCATCATCATCATCATCATCATCATCATCATCATCATCATCATCATCATCATCATCATCATCATCATCATCATCATCATCATCATCATCATCATCATCATCATCATCATCATCATCATCATCATCTGCACCATCCTCATTAGCATCACCATCGCCCACCATGAAAGGGGTCTCTCCCACCATGGTGTGCTCCCCGCTTCTTCCGGCCCTCCGACCGCCGCCCACGTCGAGCGTGTACAGCCGGGGCCTTGAAGAAGGAACCCTTCTCGTTGGGGAGGGGCTCCGCGTTCCTGAAGTGTTTCGCAGCTTGCCTCAGGTTCTCCTTATGTTTTCTATCGGAAATCGAAGTGTAACTTGTGGAAAAAAGGGGCCTCGTTCCTTATTTAGGGTTCCTTAGGTCAACGCCCCGACTGTACGCGCTCCCCCGCGCGGAAGAAGCCCCGCGCGGAAGAAGAAAAACGCCATGAACATAAAACCGTTGGCGCTCCGCGCGGGTTTCTTGGAGCCGCGCGGGGCACCCCCCGGCAGCGCCTCGGGCGCCGCCCCTGGCGCGGATCCGCGCGCCAGGGAGGGTATTCTAGCCCAGATCCAGGGAATCCGCGCGGACCTCCAACAGTTTTGGTTTATGCCGTTTTTTTTCTCCCTCTGCAGAAATAGTCGTCTGCGGGCTCCCAGATCCCAAGCTTCTCTGGGCACCATCCTGTCTTGAGAGTCGCGCGGCTTTCCCCGCCCTCTCTCCTCTGCAGGGGGGTGGGCGGGAACCCAGTCTACGTCCCACGCCTTCCTGCTTCATGCTTCTGCACACTTCTTCACATCGATAGGTGCCGACACCGATGCCCTTTCCTCGCTTTCGTTTTCATGGTCCTCCTGGGTGCCCTCGTCGACACGACCAGATTCGAATTTGAACCCCTATCGGAACTCGCTCCGTGAGAGGTCAGGGAGTAGCGGTGCTGGCGTCTTTTTGCCCCCCCTAGCTTCTGAAGCCTCCTTACCTCCTCTCATCATCATCCGCAGTATATCTTGGTCCCCCTAGACGGATATGATGGATTGTTGTTGTTGATGGTGGTGATGATGATGACGACGATGATGATGGTGATGCTGTTGCTGATGATGATGACACTGATGATGGCGATGATGATGATTATGCTGACGCTGTGGTGATAATGGTGATGATGGTGATGAGAAAGATGATGATGAGGATGATGAGGATGATGGAGACGATGACGATTATGATGCTGGTGATGATGAGGATGGTGATGACGAAGTCGATGACGATGGCGATGATGATAATGATGCTGGTGATCATGATGATGATGATGATGCTCATGATGGTGCTGGTGATGATGATGAGGATGATGACGATGATGATGATGCTGATGATGATGATAATGCTGACGATGCTGATGATGCTGATGATGATAGTGATGATGATGACGATGACGATGGTGATGGCAATGCGTGATGGAGGACGGTGGTGATAATAATGCTGTTGCTGATGTTGTCGATGATGACGGATGATGGGCGATGGGCAACGGGTGATGGTGATGATGGTATGAGGTATGATGGTGAGGAGAACGAGGATGATAAAGGTGATGAGAGGATGATGTCGGTGATGATGGTGGTAATGGTCGATGATGACGGTGATTCTGACGAAACCGTCGACGACCACGAGGGGAACGACAATGGCGATAACGATGACGACAACGGTATTTGTGATGGTGATGGTGATTAGGATTGTATTTCTGCTGCGGGTGTGCTGGTGCTGGTAGTCGTCACTGTGCCGACGAAGGTGAAGTTCATGATCATGTTCATGCTCACGGAACTGACTATGACTAATCTGCGGATTGCGATGGTGATGGTTATGATTTTGATGTTGGTGTTGCTGCTGATGACGATGATCGGAACCTGGGTCAGCGAAGTACCTGCAGCTCGGTGAGCGTGCGACCCAGTACAACTACGGTGCTCGATCAGCACCATCTGGGTCGAGGGAGGTAAAAACACCCTGACTCCCATCATTGGCGATTACTAGATAGTCCTGGGCGTTTGCTATGCAGCCCTGCCCTGTTCGCTTCCCTCTTAAGGTGCGTGTGCTGAACGGCTTTGCTTGTCGGTGTGCT